GTATTTGATTGAAACATTTTACCACATCGAAGCTGAACCCACTAATAGGTTTTTTGTTAAACAACGCCTGTTCTACAAGGTTTTCGAGGGCAAAAGATATGTCCCGGGCTGAGCGATGTGGAAGGCTTCCGCGGATGCTCCATGGCAGCCACGTGGTCCAATGGCGCAAAATTGTTTGTGCCATTGCCGAAGCCCAAGAGCCGATAGAGCGTTGCGAAAATGACGATTGGTCGCCCATGGGACATACTCGTGGGGCAGGGCCTTTTAGAGAGGATGGCCACCCTTGCTGCTGCAAGAGTTTTTGGCAGTCCACAAGTCATGCCTTGCTCGAAAATTTTTGACAGGTCCTGGAGAATGGGGACAGGCAGGTTTTTAAGTTCCCTAACAGTAAACCCACAACACCCTGTGGCCTTATTCGGCCGCATGCCCTGCAATGCCTTCTGCCACGCTTCCAAATCAAAATCAGCAATGCGGAGGGGTGCTGCGTGGTCTGGCAGGGGTGGGAGGTTAGCTAAGGCATCCGCCCAAGAATCCTCACAGGTACGTCGCCTACCCTTATCCCTATTCCAAATGGCGGACCAATATTCATAAAAATTCCCGATGGAGCTCATTTGGGGATGAGGCACAAGTGTGCTGTTGAAGGTGCAGGGTCTGCTCGGGGAGCAACTGCAGATTGTCATGTTGCAAAAGAATCTCAAAGGACCCGGACTCAACCTGGCGCTGATCCGTAATGTACTTACATATGTCCTGCAGCAGTTTGGCATGGCATGAAACGGCGCAGGAACTGCGGCAACTGGACTGAAGCCCAGGCATGCTGTGGATCAACCACCTCTGTGACTTGAATGTCCCGTCGCTCCACCACGGGTATAGCTGAGAAAGGAGGGTGAGGCACGGGTTTGATGGCTGCAAAGCCTTGGCTCATGCCGGCATGCTTCGCATTCCACTGAAGTCGGAAGTGTGCAAGTTTCCTGCGGTGTTGCGCCGACTGCCGGACCTTTGCGTCCGTGGCAAACCTCGTATATTCATAAACTTCCTTGACCCAATCTAGCGGGGGGGTGTTTTTCCAAAAGGTGTGGAAATGTGCAATCGTCAAAATCCATTGGGGGAAGTCAGGCGGAAAACCCTTACCTCGAACTATCGCAGACCACTCCTGCTGGAGTTGGGCTCCCAAGGCTGCATCAGCAGCGCGCGCAAATTTTTTTAGCGACCCCGACAGTACGTTTGGAGGCGTCGGACCTGCCTGACCATCATCCTGGCCTGAGTCGACACGGCCGCTTCTGGCGGGGTATAATCCCCACAACGCGCAGCCCGTGCCGCTTGCGGGAAACGCTGCCACCTCCGTTCGGGGGCTTGACACCTACCTCTCGCTGATTTAGGCAGACGTGGGATCGTATGTTTGGACGGGTCCTGCTGATGGGCTGCGGCAAGGGCTGTATCAACAGACCACTCCACGCACTGGGCCCAATGTTGGAGAGCTGCTTGCAGCTGAAGTGTGGTTGTACATGAGCATACTTGCTGAACCACGGGCGGTTCGTGGCTGGCATAGGCGGCCGCAACATCTGCCTGCTTCGGCTGCAAATCTGCCCATGTTCGAGGTCATTCTTGGTGGAGTGGCGGCAAGTGGCAGGTAAAGTTCGCGCCAACCGGTCCGCAGCAAACTGAAAAGCTTCAACATAGCCGAGGGCACGCAGACATTCCCATGCTGGGAGGGCTGCCACATCCATATTGAAGTCTCCCCCAATCACAGTCGGGATGCCTGACTGCTGAACGCGCTGCAAAGCCATGCTCAAGAGGGCCTGGTTATGTTCAAGGTACCCCGACCTATTCCTAGGAAACCCGTAAAGTGCTATGGCACGGACCTCTATGGGACCAAACCTTACCATGGCCTCGACCAAGCGTTGTGTGGCCAGCATAGAGTCAGGCATCTGAGGTACGGGCGCAGGTGCTTGACCCGTGGAAAGGATGGCAACTCTGGCAGCGTGACCCTTGAGTGACTTATCTGGGCCAAATTCGGAGTCATGACATTGGACCGGGTGGCCCCAGATGACAGAGAGTCTCTCCTGTCGGAGGGGCTTCATAATGCGCTGAGTGCGGGAGACAGCTGAAGTTTCAGAAAGAAACAGGAGATCCGCACCCACTTGCGCAAGTTCATGTTGCTTGTGCAACACGGAGGTTGGGTTTGCAACGCCAACCGTGAACAAATGACTGTCTGTGGCGGCCTGAGGTTGTCGAAAGGCAGGCTGCTTCTTGGTCTGCTTGAGGAAGTCACGTATGTCCTGCTGCCCTCGGGGTAATGCTGGGCCCGGATTTTTGGCCTCGCCGACGCGGCAGCCCACGAATGGGCCCAGAATGCTGGAGGAGCAGGTGGGGACTGATGTAGAATCATCACGGCAGAAGGGCACTAATTCATGCATTTTTTGTTGAAGAAACAGGCAGGCTTGCCTGGGCAAAAATGGAGGGTCACGTCTGGACCATGCACTGGCACTGCTGGTGCAGGCATAATACATAGGTTGATGCGGTAGCATGAACTTACAAAAGGAAAGATTAGCGGCAAAAAGCAATCTGCATGCCAGAGAAGCTGGTCTGCACGCCAGCGCGCCGCAGGATGTCAGCCACGAAGCGAACTGGGGCATCAACACACAGCTTCCATTGAGTAGCCTCAACCTCGTCGGAGAAGACCATGAACTGACAACACGTGACATCCGACAGCTCGACCTCTGCTTTCGTGGCATGCATTCCCCTTACCTTCTTGCCCTCGAAGTTGCGCAAACAACCGGCTAAGAGAACCTTGCGGGATCCATCGGCTGACTCGGCAGGGAAAGACAGGGCCCCGTCGCAAGAATGTGCATCAGGGCAGGCGTGGCCAAGGACCAAAATCGCAAGTTCGTCTGGCTGGACTCCCTCCAAACTACTGCAGAGCTGGGCAGCTTCTGCAAAATCAACCAACACAAGGCCAGTTGCCCCTGGGGAAATATGATCAATAATATTGGTGGGCGTATTGTCCTCATTGACAAAGAACCCCTGCTCAACTTCAACCGGTCCTTCTGTCAGTTGCTCTGGCATGACCCTCGGTGGGCTGGGGGGCTGACACCCCATTAGCAGCTGCGATGGCGATGATTTTCTCCCATCGAGAAGCTTCCGGCCCGGATGACACAGCTGCCATGACCTTGCTAACACCCGCCTTAGCCAGCAGCTGGTCGACAAATGTCGCGGTAACATTAAGAGGGCAACCCTTGCTGAGGCAGAGCGCGGCAACCCTTGAGCTAGTCCATTCCCCATTCTCAACCTTAGCCCCACCCCCAACCAGGTAAGGGTGAATCGTGAGGAGAAGCCGGCCCTGTTTATAGCACTTCTTCTGATCAACAGCTGCAATGACCTCAAGGACAGAACTGTGACATGGGCAGGGGAAAGGGCCCGAAAAGATTCACCCAGGTGGCATTGCACAGGCGCCAGAGGCTGTCCTCCAAACCTCCTCCAGGTCCTGCAGTTGGTACGCTGCATCAAGCCGCCCCTTCCACAGGAGGTCCGTGACCACACGAACCTCAACACCACAGGGTCCGGGGCAGTTGGGGGGAAACCTTGGACCTGCGTCTGCCAGCCTGCTAGGAAAGCAACGTGATACGGCATACCCAGCCAAGCCTTGACTGCCGCTACATCACCTTCAACCTGGAGCTGGACCTCCGCTGGCCCTGTGATGTCAAAGACAGGCTGCAGACTTGCCCAGTGGCTGAGAGGGAACAGTTGCTGATCTTCGCCTTCAGCACACGCAAGGCAACATGAAAGGGCCGGGTCCCAGCTTGGCAGACGAAGGCCGTTAAGCAAGTAGAGGGCAAGGCTGTCCTGTGATCCTAAAGCAAGCTGGTCAACTATGTGAACCACCTGTGGCCAAAACAATGGGGATTTGGTATGCATGAGATAGGCCTGCCCAGATGTAAGCCAAAGAGTCATACCTTGGCTATCTGCAACCCCGGCAAAAAGACCCTGGTCTGTTAGCGAAGGCAATGCATGCACCCGTACAGTCATGGCCTGGGTTTTGGGTCCCCACTCCGCGGGTAACTCTGCACAAAGGTCCGCAATGCCAAGAAACGTAAAGACGTCCTGTAACAGAGCGCCACAAGCAACTTGCAATGTGACAGCCTCGTCCGGGGCTTGCAGCGTAACGGGCACAAACAAGGAGGACAAGTCAGCCCTGCCGGTGATCCCAACCGTACCTGACATGTGTTGCAGGAGGTCTGGCAAACGGTCCCTCGGGCACAAGAACCAATCAGCCCCACTAGGAACGAAGAGTGCATTATCATTGCGCATCCGGCGCTGCTGGAAGAAAGAAAGAACCTTTTGAGGTGAGGGAAGCCCGGGGACCTTTAGTACTGCTGCGCACATCAGAAGTCCTGTCGCGGCGTGTGGCACGGAAATGGCAATGCCTAGGCCCCGGTTTTGTAGTCTCCTATCTCTGTCCAGTAGAACTGGACAGACCGCACCGAGTGTGACGGCTATCTCAGCACCGGCAAAGAAGCGCACACAATGACCATCATGCACCAACTGTCCCAGCTCGTCTTTCAAGCAAGTCCAATGGAAGCTCATGTTGAAAGCTATATTGCGCCATAAAACAACCGGCACTCCGTTCTGGGGTCTTGATTCTATACCGGCGAATCGCAGCTTCTGTGGTTTGCAGCAGAGCACCTTGGGGTACCAACCATGGATCTAGGTACTTGGCAAGAAGATTCGCATCCGGCTGCAAGTCGGCAAGGACTTCAGGGGGGAGATCAAGCAATGCCTGTGCCATGGCCAGGGTGGGCTGTCTACCCATGTTCCAGCTGACCTGCGGGAGCGGGAAACCAGCGGCTGTGTCGCGATGTGCCAGCACCATGAGGTGCCTCTTCCTGGCTGCGGGCAGGATCGCCTGTGTGTCCAAGGTACACTGCCACAGAACTTTGTACCCTGACAAGGTCCATGCTCGGCACACCTCCTGAAAATCTGGATGTTGCGGGAAACCCTCGACTTGTTCCAGGACCACAACAGGCACCCGGGCACTACCACAGACATCCGCCATGCGTAAAAGCAGTCTGCCATCATGATGCTTCAAGCCTGGGGCACTTGCAGCTCTGCTCCATGGTGGACATGGTGCCGAGATGGCTGCTATGTGCGGAGGCCTCTGTGCAAAAATACGCATCCACCAGTTAAGGAGATGCACGGGCTTTGCTGGACCTCAGACTGAAACAACTGATCAGCATGATAGACCACAGCTGTGTCGTGCTGGCGCCGCTGGGCTTCAACACACTGCGGGTTGTTGTCCAGACCCCAAGTGACACTAATCGGCACCCTCATCCTATGCAACATCCATGCTGCATGGCTCCATCCCATGAACGCCCCGGAAAAGAATTCCGCAACATGCAAACACGTGCCCTGTTCTAGCTTAGCTGCTGAAACAACCACGGCTTCACTTGGGGTGCAATCCAGGATCCAGGCTCCTACCCACGTGACCCCTACGTTGAGAACCTTGAGGGGGCCCTTCATGAGTCTATACAACTCCCAATCTGGTAAACGGATCTTTAGCAAAGCCTTGTTGCTGCGACCTGATGACCAGGGGATGTCAGCTGAAATCCCGTCATGCACATCCAGAACTGTGGCTCGGACAAACACACTGCCCCCCCTATTGACAGGCGCATCATAGGGAGCAACCAAGAAGTTGAAACGGTTTGGCCCATCCATATCCGGCGTGACCTGTTCAGCCAAAGTTTGTAGACGGGCCCACTCCTTGTCTCTTTCATCCCAACAAGTTTGTACATTCCAGTTCGGTAATGCCATGGCTCAGTCTGCACGAGCTCTACAGGAGTCTCCTAACGACTCCACCCCGGGTAGGTCCGAGCCCAGAAGCTCCTAAACCCTAAACCCTAATCCCTAAACCCTAATCCCTAAACCCTAAACCCCAAACCCCAAACCCTAAACCCTAAACCCAAGCGAGGTCCCAGCGGCCGATGATGAAGAAGTGTTGGTCTCTGCTGTCATTGAAGCAAGCCGCTGGCCAGCTGTGTCCGTTCAGGTCCAGGGCATTCCTGGGCTGCTGTTAAGGGACTTAATTTAGGGTTTAGGGTTGGGGGTTTAGGGTTTAGGGTTTAGGGTGTAAGGTTAAGGGGCCTAATTTAAGTTACTATATTGGGGAAACTCGATTACTCACTATATACATATATATATATATACCCACTATGGTAACTTAACTTCCTTAACCCTAAAACCCCAAAACCTAAACCCTAAATAGTAGTTTCCATTTTATTTTCCATTACCCATTATGGTAACTTAGTTTAAGTTCCTTAACAGCAACCCAGAAATACCCCTAAACCCTAAGCCCTATATACCCACTATGGTAACTTAGCTTTAAGTTCAAAGACTTTAAGTTTGTACCCTTAATGTTTTTGTACCCCCAAGTTTTGGGTCCCAAATACCCTTATTGAGGACCCTAAACCCTAAACCCTAAACCCTGAACCCTAAACCCTAAACCCTAAACCCTAAATAGTTTAGGTTCCTTAACAGCAACCCGGTTTCGCCGGCATCTCGGGAGATTTCGGAATCTTCAAGGCCCCGCAGTCCAGGAAGCACGCGCCACCGGTGATTTGCGACTGCCTGGGTTGCTGTTAAGGAACTTAAATTCAGGAAACCCTATAGGGTTTAGGGTTTAGGGTTTAGGGTTACTATATTGGGGAAACCCTATTACGTATTTACAATATATATACCCATTATGGTAACTTAATTTCAGTTCCTGAACAGCAACCCAGCTGCGACTTTGAGGAGTTTGAAGGCTGCCAAGCGAAGGGCGCCTGACACGCGGTGCAGAGCACCTCACCCGAGCAGCGGCCTCCTTTGCCCATGCCTCAGATCATCTCAAAGAGCCCAGTCAATATGGAGTCCACAAACATCCCAAGACATCAGTATTATTAGATAGATCATTCTAGTATAGTATAATATCCGACTATACATATATATATATAAACATATATACCTATGTGTATATATTTATGCTTGAGGGAAATCGCTTTTCCGATGACAAGGTGCATTGGCAGTGTTCGCACTGCCCCCGCGCAGCCGAGGCTGGGCATGCAGTGTCCATGGGCTTATCTGGCTCCTGGAGGCTGTATTATAATAGGGTATATGGGGATATATACTACTATAATGGGTTATATAGGGGCATATGGGGTTCTATAGGGTGAGGGAGCAGCATGAGCAAGGCGGAGTTCAAGGGTTCAAAAGGACCAAAGCAGGCTAAGCCTCAAATACTTTTAGATCTATAGTATATTGGGGTTATAATTATAAGGATAATGGAAACGAAAATGGAAACTACTATAGTAGCTTCCATTTTGAATCCTGCACCCTAAGTTGGTCTAAGTTGGTGATGATCAGGCTCCTGCTGGCTACCACAGCCGCTGAGTCCCAGTGCCAGCGCCAGCAGCAAAGGCCTTTGAAGGTGTTGATAGGATCTTGGAAATGCAAGGGGGCCCCTAATATGTTAGCTTCCATTTTCTTTTCCACTATCCAAAAAGCCTAAATAACCCCAATACATACCCCATTATGATTTAGTAGTTTCCATTTTCCATTATACCTATATAACCCAAGGATTTTGGAAATAAGAACCCTGAGCCTCAGCAGCGTCCAGCTTCTCTTTCCCTGGCTCAGAGTGCCCATTGCAGATTGTCCCCTAAACATTTTGTGCAAACCCTAAACCCTAAACCCTGAACCCTTAAACCCTATAGACCCTAAACCCTAAACCACTAACATGTTGGGCATCCTCGAGCCCAAAACTGCAGGCTCAGGGCAGGGGATAGCGGCTTTCTTGCATTGCCACACCTTGAGAGGAAGCAGCATAGATAATAGGTATTATAATGGGATTATATGGGGGTTGTATAGGGTTTATATAAGTATAGTGGAAAAGAAAATGAAAACTACTACATCATAATCGGGTATATAGTGGCGTAAGCATCCAATTCGGAGCTATAGCCTAAACTCCTAGCATCCCCCTTTTCTAGCCCCTTACAAGACTCCCCGGTATCATCCCCTCAGTTTTTAGACTATAGCTCATCTGAAGTTGGGAGGACATGCGGCAGAACCATGGCCTTCTGCATCCCAGGCTACGGAGTGGCACGCCCCTGCGGCTACGCCTCTGCAAAAGTCTTATCTTTGGTGTGCTAAAAATGCAAACTACCATAATGGGTAAGGTGTAGGGTATTCTTTTGGGTTTAGAGACTTTACTACTACAATGGGATATAAAGGGGTAGGGTGTAGGGTTTTTTTGTTGGGTTTAGGGTTTAGAGTTTAAAGTGTTGGGCTTAGGGTCTAGGGTTTAGGGCTTAGGGTTTAGGAGGAATGGAACCAATCCCAAATTGCCCACAAGCCTACGGCAATCTGCGCTGAAGGAAGAGGGATGGCTGCCTTGCCGCCTCAGCTTGCAAGGGACCAGAACTGGATCATATAGGGAAGCATTATAGGGGCTATTAAGGGCGATACTAGGAGGGCCACTATCCCAATATGACCCCTATACAATCCCTATATATAACTCTATAACACAACAGTTTCCAGGGTCCTTATCCCAATATGACCCCTATATAATCCCTATAACTCTATAATCTAGTAGTTTCCACAGTCCTGTCCCACTTCCGTCGAGACTTGGCTTTCTGAAGTCGGCTCCTCCAGCGCCCGCAGTCTGGCCGAACTCGTCGTCGCCCAGAGCAAAGACCCGGCCCGCTTCCGTGAGAAGGAGGCAATGCCTCCAACCCGCAGCAACCTGCGTTTAGGGTTTTCGGGATTAGGGTTCAGGGTTTAGGGTTTAGGGTTTGGGGTTTAGGGTTTAGGGTTGAGGGAATGCCTCCAACCCGCAGCAACCTGCGCCAGTGAAATATGGAAACTACTACAATGGCTTATATGGGTTACATGGGTTGTATGGGTTGTATGGGTTATATAGGTTTAGGGTTTAGGGTTTAGAAGGAATGGAAAAGAGAATGGAAACTACCGATTCCTTTTCTCCTAGTTGGTAATTTCCCAAAATAGGGGGACCCCAATACAGACCCTAAAAAACTATATAGTCCTTTTTATTTAGACCCCCAAAATGGTATTCCTAATTTTGAGAAACCCCCATTTCCTGCTTGTTAGCACTGTTTCCGCCACCTGCGCCACGCGCGACGGCGGGCCGCCCTGTGCAGCGCCTGGGCCGCGTCCGCAAAGCCCAAAGCTGCACACAGCCGCACACAGCCTTCTCATGCTATAATATAGTATACTATTTTATAATGTACCATAATAATATGAGATAGTATACTATGACATAGTGTACTATAGTCTGATAGGTCTAATATGATATACTATACTTTAATATCATATGGTATATTCTAATATGATATACTATAGCTTATTATCATATAATACAACATAATACAATCTCTTTGGGCTCCGCACCCCAGAGGTGCCGCAGCTGCGAGGTGTCCTGGACTTTCCGGGCATTGCTTGATATGGGCAAAGAACACTTGAAGTAGTTTCCATTTTCTTTTCCATGATCCTAATGGAACCCCTATATATACATATACACACCCCATTGTAATAGTTTCCATTTTCTTCTACATTATCCCAATATAACCCCAATATAGCCCCAATATACTCCAAGCCACAAAGCACAACACTTGGAAACTAATATATATATATATACCTATGTAGTAGTTTCCATTTCATTTTCAAGTATCCCAATACAATATAACCCTGTGAAACTACTACTCCACATCCCTCAGCACCCGACGCCGCCCGGCGGCCAGAGCCCACCGAACAGCAATACCTCCCCTTGCGAGGTCAGCCTGCGAAAAAAAGAGTAGATTACACTATGTTATAATAGGTTATAGTATATTCTAATATATCTTATAATATATTTTCCTATATTATAATATATTGTAATATGTTATAATATATTGTAATATACTGTATATTACACGAGGGGTATGTATGTTATAGTATATACTTTCCTATCATGTAATATATCATAGTAGATTATAGCATGTTATAATATAGTCTATTATATTGAAATATCTTTTCCTACTTCTGGGCATCTTGGCTTACTGAGGCTTGCGCACGAAGGAGTTGGAGCCTGGATGTTTGGCAGCGGATGGCAGAGAGCCTCCCTAAACCCTAAACCCTAAACCCCTAAATCCTAAATCCCTAAACCCCTAAAACCTAAACCCTAAACCCTTAAACCCTAAACCCATCTAAACCCTAAACCCCTAAACCCCTAAACCCCTAAACCCTAAACCCCTAAACTACCTGAGGCCCTGGCCGCCGCAAGCAATGGCAGAAACACCTTCAGGGCCAAAACCACAAAACTCTGTATTCTCTAATTCTCAGATAATTCCTAAACCCTAAACCCTAAATATGGTAGTTTCTATTTTTCAATTATCCCTATACAACCCTACATACTTGTTTATTACTATTACTATTAGAACATCCATCTCGACTACGATCCCTTTCATTTGAATAGCTTCGTTTTGGTGGTTGAACCCAGTAAGATTAAATTCCTTATATGAAATACTATACCCCAAAAGGAGGATATAATCTTAATCTAGATTGGGTATAATATCCCCAAATAAAAATACTAGAGCTATAATATAATATAGCACCTATATAATCCCAGCTTCCATTTCATCTTCCATTTTCTTTTCCATTTGATTCTCCATTGTTGGGTACCATAGTATCCCAAATAAGAATACTACTAGACTCACCCTAAACCCTAAACTATTGGGTACCATAGTATCCCCAATTAAAACCCTAAACCCTAATCCCTAAACCCTAATCCCTATTGGGTACCCTAATATCCCCAAGTAAAATACTACTCTTTTGGGATTCGACCGGGCCTTGTCTGGCGCGGGGGCTCCCTGAGGCCGCCTTGCGCTGCTTGGCAGGGGAAGGGCTGCGGCCGCGTCCTCAGACTGACGTGTACTAAGTTATTGGGGTTTAGGATTTAGGGTTTAGGATTTAGGGTTTAGGGTTTAGGGTTTAGGATTTAGGGTTTAGGATTTAAGGTTTAGGGCTTAGG